AGGGGAAAATTCAATATTAAATTACCTATAGGAATGAACAAATATGGAAAACCAGATGCATCTACAGCATAGTAAGTCTCTGCTTAGAATTCCTGGACAATAAATGTTTGTTTAATTCATTTCTATCGAGTTATCTGACTGTTTAGATTGGATTCAGAGCCACGAGTTCCGTCTGAGCAGAACAGTAATTTAATATTGAATTTTCCCCTCTTCTGACCTCTTTGACCTCCTGAGTGAACTGAAGCATTTTGCAATAAATATGTGCACAGTACCAATGCGCATGGCCGGGAGAAAAATCACTGGTCTACGCATAGAAGCGATAGATGGAAGTTCAAATTTCCATTTATCATCAGTATTAGAATGGAAGACCTTACCAGATGTTCGCAGCGAAATCTCAACACCAGAGGCAGCAAGAAAAATACCTCACTTAGCACACATAGCCGATTTAATCTCTCCTCTAGATCCTGAAGCTGAAATCCTACTCATGGTGGGAAGAGATGCCCCAGAGTCCATTGGCTCTGATGAAAGAATCAAAGGTCCACCAGGAACCCCAGCAGCCATTAAGACGGAACTCGGATGGGCCATATGAGGCATGGTTTGTGTTGATCAATCGCAAACCCCAACCCAGGTGAGCATCTCAAAAATCTCCATTCCCAGTAATGGAACAGCATCTCACCTAAAACCACACCTAGAATACTGCACGCTTGTGACAACCAAACCTGTTTTAGAAGCAACAGTGTTCCAGACAAACAACAAATACAACAACTTAGCCTTGTCCATAAAGGACGAAAAAGAAAAACAACGTCTGCAAGACTGGGAGTCATGGAGTGTACTCCCAAGATGTCTCCAAACCATGCAAGTGCAGCGTACATACGTCTCCAGCTCACTTGCTACAGTGCAGAAGAAAGAATTGTACACTTCCTTAGATGCGTCTAAGAAGGTGACTGCAGCCTTAAGATACGTCTCACTCTACAGCGGGGAGGGCCACACTTATGTTATCTTGTTTGCAACCATAAGATGTATCAGAGTCTACAGCGGGGAGTGCTGCAGTCTCAGTGTCTTCTTAGGGAAAGCGAGACTAACAATACAAGAAGGCCACAGCTATGTGGCACCACTTTGGCTTTAAAGCTGACCAACTTGACAGCAAAGACGTTGTGCCTTGAACTACAGTCCACCACCTTCTACGCAGACAGCAAGATGATGTCAAGCTACATCTGCAAACAAAGCGGACACTTCTACGTCCATGTAAGCAAGAGAGAAAAGGATTGAAACATCCTTAAGCCCTGAACAATGGCAACATGTGCCAACAAATAAGAACTTTGTTAACCAAGTGAAGTGGCCCAACCTTGCCACACAGATAACAGAACTGATCTGGCTAGAAAGTCTTCAGTTCTTGGCCCGTCCAAATAGACAGATGCCACATAGACCAAAACGTTCTGCACTTCCAGCTTCAGATCAAAGTGCCAATCTTCAACCTCAAACACCTGGTAAACGTCAACCAATCCGCTTCAAAACCCTGTCTAAGTGGAGACAACTGAAATTAGGCATACTTTTGATCGTCTTGATCACTTGTCTCAGCACCCCAAGAATTAGCCTTGTAGAAGCCTGCAAGGACTTACTGACTTTCACGGATTCCATGTCGTTAAAGACACCCACACCCACACATGAAGTCCTCACCCTGATGGCAACAGTAGTAGCCCTCTTCAATACTCCACCGGTGGTTCCAGACCCTTCGGTTCTTGAGTATCCTGAGTCTTCTGCTCAAGCTGTTGTTCCTGACTCTTCAGTTCCAGCTGTTGTTCCTGGTTCTTCAGTTCCAGCTGTCGTTCCTGACTCTCCAGCTTCAGTTGTTCCTGAGTTTCCAGCTCCAGCTGTTCCTGAGTTTCCAGATGTTCCTGATCCTGATTCTTCAGCTCCAGCTGTTCCTGTGTTTCCAGATCCAGCTGTTTATGTCTTTCCAGGTTCTTCAGTTCCTGAGTATCCTGTGAATCCAGTTCCCTTCGTTCCCGAGAAGCTTGGGTTCCAGTTTTTTCTGTTCCAGATTTGGTTCCAGTTTCCTTCACAGGAAGAAGACCTTGTCTCACTGGGAGACAAGATTGCATATCAGAACTATTGGCCCATGGGACTTGTGCACCGGGCCCACCCACTTGATAAACTAGTTTGCCCAGCTGAGGTCCAGATCGTGAAACCTGATCACCGTTTGGTCCCGTTGCTGATGAAGACCGAACCAGAAGATCAAACCTCAGATTATGTGTTGTCCCATGCATTGTTTGAGGTAATACTTGCTTATTCTTTTTAGCATAATCATGCATGTTTTGTATTACTTTATAGTTATTCATGTTTCATACCAAGTTTTTTACCTATTTAGCCACAAGTTAGTTACCTTTGAGTATTGTATGCCTTAATGCTATGTTCTTTGCTATTTCAGTTAGTTAGTAGTGGAAATGTAAATTTCCAAGCGGGGAGTGTTCTGGACCTACGTGACTCTAACTAGGGAGCATGTGTTAGTATGTTAGAATATCTGGCAGTTATTGGGTTAAATGCTGGGTATGTTGATGGGTCAGTGGGAGGAGTCAAAAGGGTCATTGGGAGACTTCCTGGCCACAAGCCAGATGCAAGCCTTTGTTCATCCAGCCACATGTGTTTTGCCAACATGTGATTCTCAGCAGAAGAAGAGGGGAAAATTCAATATTAAATTACCTATAGGAATGAACAAATATGGAAAACCAGATGCATCTACAGCATAGTAAGTCTCTGCTTAGAATTCCTGGACAATAAATGTTTGTTTAATTCATTTCTATCAAGTTATCTGACTGTTTAGATTGGATTCAGAGCCACGAGTTCCGTCTGAGCAGAACAGTTGGCAAAGGGGATCACATGACCTCAGGACATTTCAACAATCATAAATCGATGCCGGTTGTCAAGCGGCTGAATTTTGATCATGTGGCCATGGGGAAGCTGCAACGGTCGTAAGTGTGAGAAATGGTCATAAGCCACTGTTTTCAGTTTTGTGGTAACTTTGAATGGTTACTAAAACAAATGGTTATAAGTCAAGGACTACCTGTAGTCTGTACAGTTTGGAATCATCTACAAATTTAGCCAGCTCAGGGCTTAATCCGAAATCAAGAGCCTTTATCAAGAATTTAAAAAGCAATGGTTCCCTCCATGTCTTTTCTCCTCTGAGAAAAGGGCCTACTTATTCCTACTCTTTGTTCTGTCTTCTTTAAACAGTTGGTAGGTCATAAAGAAACACTTTACCTCATCCCACAGACACTATGTTTACTCAAGAGTCATCAATGAAAAACTCTGTGAAGGGCTTTTGAGAATCTAAGTACAGCATCTTGTTTCTATTTACCTATTTATTGACACTCTAAAAATCTGCCAAAATTTGATGGAGCTAAATTTACTTTTGTGGAGTTCCAACACTGAGACTGATTTGAGCAACAAATTACCTATTTTTGTGAGATCATCAATTTTACAGCAATTCAAGAACTCTTGAATGGATACATTTAGGCCTCAGCGTGTTATTGAAAATGTGAGAAAATAGCTAAAATGGCAGAAAGCAGACACATAATTTGAGACCCTGCCTTAAAGGAAGGGAAAATAAATCTATATGTTGTTAAGAAATCATGTGTGGTTCTAATACAGTTGTGCCTCAACCTTTACTTTAAGAATTCTGGACTTCAACTCCCAGAATTCCCTAGCCAGCATGCTGGCTAGGGAATTCTGGGAGTTGAAGTCCTCACCTGTTAAAGTTGCCAAGGTTGAGATACATTGCTAATAGCTATGATATCTGACTCCCTACTCCTATCACCTCAATTCTTTCCATTTTATTACACCACCTTAGTTCCTTGCTTTTATTAATTGTGTAATAAATTACAAATATATCTGTATATCTATTAACACTATGACAGGATAAGGGCATGTGTACAATTGTCTTCTTATGCAACTTCCCGAAGACAGACTTAGGCTCTTGCCAAGTGAGGAATTTTGCATTCTTGGAGTACCACAGAAGCCATTTTGCCTATTCCTTCCAGACTAAAAAGGAAAAAAAATGTAGACATTCCTAAATCAAATTAAAATAACAACCACCATAAGGATAATAATAACCACAACGTCTTTGGCTCAATTTTTAGCTTCTCCTCCACCCCCAGTGCAGAGAAACAAGAAAGGTTTCTGACAACAATGTCTCCAAAAGATTTTTAGACATAGACATTTCCTTTTCTATATCATTTTTATAACCAGTCATTTTAAAATCCACATTCAAATCAGCCTCTATCTTGTCCAATAAAACTACTTTCTCTTCTATAACCTCTTTTGAACCTGGTTTTATGACAGCAGACAATTTTAAGAGTTTCTCAGTGCACTGTTCTCAAAAATCCATGAATTCTTCAAAAGATAAGAATATTTTGCTCCATTCTGCATAGTGAATCTCTCTTTAATTATAATCTTTAGTTCTTTCTGGTTCCTTCTAGTGATCCAAGTGTCAGTCCCATCTTATCTTTTCCCCCCCAATCAACCGCATTTTCTCATGGCAACATTTCTTATACACTTTCAAAAATAAACATATTTACAATCCACAGGAAAGATTATTGTAATTAATTTCAACATCTTATTTAAAATTCATCTGACCCCTTAGTCTGTTTATAAATTTCCAAAATCAAACTTCTAATCAGCCACTTGCTGTTTTGTTCAAAGTAAGATTATTTTGGAGTTCTTAAACTTGCATTAATCACATTTGTATGACTTTTAATTTTATGTTTTTATCAGGTTCTGATAATGTCAACACCCCAGAGTTTTGCCAAGTGGCCGATACATACTTTTTTTTTTTTTGCTAAATAAAGAAATATTCCATGGGCAGGGAAAAAAATACTTAAAAGAGAAATAGGTGGTACACTCACTGGCGTAATTGAGGTTCACACATGAGGGCAGTCACATGTATGTTCATTCATGCCTTTTTTAATGATCTTCAACATAGGTCAGAAACATTCAGAAAATACCTGAATTAAGTCCAGGGCAGGCAAAGGGTATCGCTCACTGGGAATAATCACAATGCAGTTGCCACGAGTAATGGCTGGAGCAAACAAACTGACAAAACTGAGGAGGGGGTGTTCGTCTGGACAGGCAATTCCCACGACACCAACAGGTTCTCGAAAGTGAATGCAGGCACCATATAGAGTGGTTTCCTGCAGCAGAAAAGGGCACAAGCAAAAAGTTCAAGGATTATAAAGAGAATAAAAGTTCTCCCGTTAACAAAATCCCCACCTGAAAGCTCCTAATTGCCGGCCTCCATTTCCTTTCCAAATCAATCTGCTGAAATATCTATATGGAAGAGCCTTGGTGGCGCAGTGGTTAGAATGAAGTATTGCAGGCTAACTCTGTGACTGCCAGCAATTTGATCCTGGCCAGCTCAAAGTTGACTCAACCTTCCATCCTTCCCAGTTCAGTAAAATGAGGACCCAGATTGTTAGGAGAAATATGTTGACTCTGCAGACCCCTTAGAGGAGGGTATAAAGCACTGTGAAGTGGTATATACCGTAAGTGGTATATTGCTAGTTCTTTGATTTTCGTTTTCATACACATCTTTCTTTTCTTTTCTCATGAGGACTTCCAAACCCAAAAGAGAGTCGCCAGACGCCTGCAGCCCCAATGTTAATCTTGCAAGGCAGGCCAGACAAGAAGCATACCCAAAGCACTAGCTATAACTGTATAATAAAGTTACATTCACAAACTCCTTCCTGTCTGAGAATCCATCTCCTCTCTGCTTTCCTGTCAGATTGAAGAACCTCAGGAGGGTTGAGATGCTTGCCTCACCCTCTCATTGCTTCTGTGGACTCAGTTGCCTCTTATCTAATATTGCCTAGTCTGTAGCTCTTCCTCCTGTCTCCAAAGCATATTCCTACATACCCTCAGTTACTGGTATATACGGGACCAGTATCTGCAGAGGGGAGTCTTAGCCCTGCCTATGGTATGCACAGAAGCCTCCACATGATCCGAGTGTTGCCTTTGGGGCATTTTAGCTTGAGAAAGTAGGTTTGCAATTGCACCCAGCAAGGTCTCCTCTTTGCTGATGTTCATATGCAAATACAGGGCACTCTGCAAGAGGAGTGTCTTCGTGCGGAACCACTATTTTTCAGTACTTCTAAGAATACCTACGTAAAGAGAGAAACTGCCAACCTGCCAAGAAGACCAGACAGAAAACATAACAGGATGAGCTAATTGGACTTTATTGCGAGGCTACATTAACAGGACTTTGCAAGCCTGAAAGTACAATTCTCCCAACTTTTTTTAAAGCCTAATTATTTATGGCAGATCTTTTTTAACTTCTTTAATAATAATAATAATAATAATGATAAAGTTGGAAGGAACCTTGGAGGTCATCTAATACAACCCCCTACTCAGGAAGGAAACTCTATACCATTTCGGACAAATGGCTGTCCAGTTTCTTCTTAAAAACATCCAGTGTTGGAGCATTCACCGCTTCTGGAGGTAGGTTGTTCCACTGGTTAATTGTTCTAACTGTCTCCTTAGTTCTAGGTTGCTTCTCTCCTTGATTAGTTTCCATCCATTGCTTCTTGTCCTGCTTTTAGGCACTTTGGAAAATAGCTTGACTCTCTCTTCTTTGTGGCAGCCCCTGAGATATTGGAACACTGCTATCATGTCCCCCCTCGTCTTTCTCTTCGTTAAACTAGACATACCCAATTCCAGCAACAGTTCCTTATATGTTTTAGCCTCCAGTCCCCTAATCATCTTTGTTCCTCTTCTCTGTATTTTCTAGAGCTGGCTGTGGAATTCTGGGAGTTGAAGTCCACATGCCTTAAAATTGTCAAGGTTGAGAAACACTGTTCTAGAGTCTCAACATCTTTTTTACATCGTTGTGACCAAAATTGGATGCAGTATTCCAAGTGTGGCCTTACCAAGGCATTGTAAAGTAGTATTAATACTTCACGTGATCTTGATTCTATCCCTCTCTTAATGCAGCCTAGCACTGTGTTGGCTTTTTTGGCAGTTGTAGCACACTGCTGGCTCATATTTAAATGATTGTCCACTAGGACTCCGAGATCCCTCTCACAGTTACTACTATTGAGCAAGGTACCACCTATACTATACTTGTGTATTTGGTTTTTCTTGCCTAAATGCAGAACCTTACTTTTTTCACCATTGAATTTCATTTTGTTAGATAGCGCCCAGTGTTCAAGTCTGTCCAGATTCTCCTGTATCCTAAGCCTGTCTTCTGGAGTGTTGGCTATTCCTGCCAGCTTGGTGTCGTCTGCAAATTTGATGAGTTCCCCATCTATTCCCCTCATCCAGATTGTTGATGAAGATGTTGAAGAGCAGTGGGCCCAGAATGGAGCCCTGGGGCACCCCACTACACACTTCCCTCCATGTAGATGCGGTTCCATTGAGGACCACACGCTGAGTATGTCAGCCAGCTATGGATCCATCGGGTGGTGATGCTGTCTAACCCGCATTTTTCTATCTTATCAAGTAGTAGGTTGTGGTCTACTTTGTCAAATGCCTTACTGAAGTCTAAGTAAATTATATCCACAGCATTCTTCTGGTCCACTAATTTTGTCACTTGGTCAAAGAATGCAATAAGGTTTGTCTGGCATGATCTGTTTTTGACAAACCCGTGTTGGCTTTCCTTGTCCATTATTCGGTTGCAGGTCCTCCCTCTTTTAACTGAGTATTCCCTAGGCATTGGGGGGGGGGAAGGCTCATTCCACTAGAGGAATAGAATCATATAAATTAAAGATGACACTTTCAAGGACTTTTGATAGATTTCCCAAAATTGTTCTGGAAGGATATTACTTGGGTTATATCACTCATAGATTGATTGACTTGCCTACCTACTATCATTATGGCCAACTCTGATTGGCATTAACTTTCACAACTGTCTTCACTTTTGCATTCTTCAGATCTAGGGACCATGTCCCAGAAATCCTTAGCCAGGATAGGCATTGCTGTGGCTTCTGTGGATCAAATTCCACATATCTGAAGGGCACCAAAGTTGGAGAAAGTTATTCTAGAATCTTGAGCAAAATTACCTTTTTGTTATTTTTTATAGCAGGGGTTGAACCCAATACCTTCTGCTCATAAAGCTAATTCTTGGGCACACATTTCAGATCCTTCCATACATTCAACTACATTCCATCCATCAACAGTTACAGAGTGCAAAGTGTATGTACCCAAGGACAAGGCCTTGCTATTCTCACCTGCACAACTCCACCACTTTTGTCAGAGTAAGCTGCCCAATAAAATAGTCGCCGCACACTAATATCCACCTCCATCAAAGCTTTCTCTTTTTCTATACCCATTAATGATTCCAGCTGTGATGCAATCTCAGCTCGACGGAGTTCCAGATTTTCAGCCACGTAGTACAAGATCTGTGCCCGGGCATGTGCCGTTTTCTTCGCCCATCTGTTATGAGACCAAGCCAAAGTTAGAAAGGAAAACTAGCAACGTCGTTCAAAGAATAACCCTTCTTTTTTTTTTTTATTGAAAGTTTTATAAATTTTACAAAAAACAAAAATAATACAAAACAAAAAACAACATATACAAAAAAAAAACTAAACATCACATATAAAAAAAACCCCCCATCCCCCACCCCTCACAAACACCCTCCCTTCCCCCCCCTGAGCTTCCCAGAGCAGAATATAGGCTTAGTTAAAAATTAACAAATAAAAATAAAAAATTAAATTAAAAAAATTTTATATTTATATATATATAAAAAAGTATCTATATATAACATTCTCTATATATGAAAATAAAACTTATGAAAAAGCTATGTGATATTTTTAATACCCAATCTAAATTGTATAAATTTTATCCATTTGTCCCAAACGGCAAGAAACTTCTCTTGCGTTTGTTGCTTTAAGAAAGCCGAAATCTTTGCCATTTCCGCCAGATAAGCTACTTTAAGAAACCATTCCTGCAATGTAGGCAAAGATTCCTTCTTCCAGTATTGTCCTACTAACAGCCTGGCGGCTGTAATCAAATTTAACATCAATACAACCTCCTTTGTATCACAATCTGTAACAATGCCCAACAAAAATAATTGCGGAGTAAATTTTACCCTCCTTCTAAAAATTCTCTGGATATTCCACCATATTTTGATCCAAAATGCTTTTATCTCTCTGCATGACCACCAAATATGATAATAGGAAGCATCCGTATAACCACATCTCCAACATTTGGGTTGTACGTCAGGGTACATAAGAGACATTTTTTGTGGATCAAGGTGCCATCTATAAAACATTTTATAAAAATTCTCCCTAAGGTTCTGTGCTTGTGTAAATTTGACATTTCTCACCCAAATGGTTTCCCAGATATCCAATGAGACTGGGACACCAAAATTCTGCGCCCATCTAATCATGCAGTCTTTAATTAATTCCGTTTCTGAGTCCATTTCAACTAATACCCCATAGATTCTCTTGATATGGGTTTGTCTTTGATCCTTGACTTGCTTAATAAGATTTCCATCTTCTCTAAGAAAACCCAATTTACAATCTACCTTCCATTTATCTACTAGTTGCCTATATTGGAACCAAGAATAAATAATATTTTCTTGCGCTAAATCTTCCCGTAATCTTAACTGCCAGTTTTGCTCATCCCATCTAAGTAACTGACTATAAGACACCATATCCATTTTTACACCTCTTTTTATTCCTTCTATCGCATGCCAAGGTATGGCCCATAATGGAACTTTAAAATCACTTTTATAATATTTTCTCCAAGTCCTAAGTAAAGAGATTCTTAAAATATGAGATTTAAAGACCCAATCCATTTTTTTATTAAATATTAAATAGGCATGCTACCCATAAAGTAAATCCCATCCCTCTATATGAAGTATCTCAGGATTTGTCAAATTTACCCAATCACTAATTAGTGTTAAAACCACCGCATCGTAATATAATTTCAAATTTGGTACCTTGAGTCCAACCCTCTCACGGAAGTCTTGCATAATTTTAAACTTAACCCTTGGCTTTTTCCCTGCCCAAATAAATTTATTAAGACCCTTCTGCCACTCACTTAAGTTAATCTCATTTTTCAAAATCGGTAACATTTGAAACAAAAAAAGAAACTTGGGTAGAATATTCATTTTTATCACTGCAATTCTTCCCATGAGGGATAATTGCAACTTCTCCCAATTCTTCAAGTCCTTCTGTACCCTGACCCACAACCTTTCATAGTTATTTTAAAATAATTTTACATTAGAAACAGACAACATCACCCCCAAATATTTTACCTTATTAACAATCTCAAAACCCGTCAAGTTAGCCAAAATCTGCTTCTCCTGACTAGACATATTTTTCGGTAAAATTTTAGTCTTATTTACATTAATCTTGAAACCCGAAACCAAACCATAATAATGAATCAACTGTAATAAGTTTACTACAGAGCAATCAGGTTGCGACAAAATAACAACCAAGTCATCCGCAAAAGCTCTCAACTTATATTCTTTTTTGTTAACTTCTATTCCTTTAATTTCCTGAGACTCTCTAATTTTAATCAATAATATTTCCAATGTTAAAACAAACAACAATGGCGATAAAGGACACCCCTGTCTAGTACCTTTCTCTATTGTAAAAACCTCTGACAAACCTCCATTAACAATAAGTTGTGCTGTTTGTTTTTGATATATTACCGTGAGGGCTTGTAATATCTTTTCGCCAAAATTCATTTCTTCCATTACTCTTAGCATAAAATGCCAATTCAATTGATCAAATGCTTTTTCAGCATCTAAAAATATGAGCCCTGCAGGGACTTGGTTGTTCTTGTCTAAATATTCTAATAGATTAATAATTTGTCTAACATTATTTTTCATATACCTTCCAGTTATAAACCCTGATTGATCTTTATGCACAAGATGATGCACCACCCTCATAAGCCTATTTACCAAAATTTTTACAAATATCTTATAATCCACATTTAAAAGAGATATAGGCCTATAATTTTTTGGTAAAGTAAGATCTTGATCCTCCTTTGGAATCAATGATATAAAAGCACTACGCCATGAAGGAGGAATCTCTAAACCCTGTAAGATACCATTAAAAAGATCATTTAATGGTTGGATCATCTCCTCCATTAAAGCTTTATAATAAACAGCTGTTAACCCATCCGTACCCGGTGCTTTCCCTAGTTTCAATTGTTGAATTGCTGAGGCAATTTCCTCCTTAGTAATTAAGCCATTAATTTCATGTTTCTGATCCTCAGTCAGTTTGGGAAAACTTGCCTCAGCTAGATATTTATTTATATCTAGCAGTTGCACGTTAGTAGATTTGTATAACTTTTGATAATAATCCAAAAAAGATTTTTTGATCAATTCCTTCTGAGAAACTAATTTACCCTTGTAATTTATTTTCTCTATTATTCTCTGTTTCTTTCTTAATTGATAAGCCAACCATCTCCCAGGCTTATTAGCATTACAAAATGTATTTTGTTTCATAAACAATAAATTAGTTGCAGCTTGATCTGCTATCAACATATTAAATTGTGACCTTAATAACTTTACAGATTCTTTAATACTTTCATCAGAAGGATTTAGAATCAAGGCCCTTTCTTTTGATTTAATTTCGTCTTCAAGTTCTCTACGTTTCTGAATCTGCTTCCGCTTATGACAATTATTCATTTTTATCAAGACACCACGCATAAATGCTTTACCTGCATCCCATACCATTGACATTGAAGTCCCCTTATACATATTCAAAACAAAATAGTCCTTTAAACACTCCTTTAACTTTTGAACATTCTTCTCTTGTCTAAACAAATTTTCATTAGCTCTCCAGGATCTCCTTTCCTCTTTCTCTTGAGTCAGTTCCATCCAAACTGGGCTATGGTCCGTCAGTGATCTAGGAAAAATCTTTACATTCTTTACTTTATTATACAAATCCGTAGTAATCAAAAAAAAGTCAATTCTTGAAAAAGATTGGTGTCTATCAGAAAAAAAAGTGAAATCTCTCTCCTCTTGATTACATTCCCGCCAATAATCCCTTAATTCCCAGTCTTCCTTCATATCAAAAAAAGCTTTAGGTAACCTTGCTTGTTTAAGAAAAGGAGAGGAACCTTTCTTGTCCCTTTGTATATCTAAGACACCATTCCAATCACCCATTAATACCACTGATCTATAGTCAAGCAATGTTATTTTTTGATGTAACTGCTTATAAAATTGTTCCTGTTGTTGATTTGGAGCATAAAGTCCCACTATAAGTACTTTCTTACCATATATACCAAGTTCAATCATCACATATCTCCCCTGGGGATCTGATTCTACCAGACAAGCTGGTAGGTTTTGTTTAACATATATAACAACTCCCCCTTTCTTCCCAGGAGCAGAAGATATAAAATGAGATCCCAAACGAGCATTGACTAAATATTTCTGATCTTTAAGTAAGATATGAGTTTCCTGTAAGCAAATAACATCATTGGTATGTTGCTTCAAATAATAAAAGATTTTTTTCCGTTTCTGAGGAGAATTCAATCCATTAACATTCCAGGTCAAAAACTTTGCCATCTCCCTTGGCACGCAGCCTGGAGAAGACACCATCAAGATCTGAAAGAGCTGCATGTGTTGCATAACTCTTGGGTCTTGCTCCTCCCACCGGCGGTGATGCATTTCCAGAAGAATTCTCTTTGGGCTCTTTTTTACGTTGCTCCTTCTCTTTACGCTTATAAGCTGCACGAGTCATCCTCTGCTCTTTAACCTCCATCTGGCGTTGCCTTTCAGCTTGTATCATTCCAGCGGAAACCAAACCTAATGCCTCAGATTGCTGCTCGACTTCCTTGCCACTCGGAGATTTCTGACCAGATGGAGTTGAGCCTGCACCCAGGACCGAAGTATAAAACTCTCTAGCTTTGTCAACTGTATTCAATCTGTAGCGTGTCCCCGCATGGCTCAAAACAATACCCATCGGAATTTCCCATCTAAATGGCATCAATCTAGCTTTGAGCTCATTGGTTAAAAAAGCGAAGTCTTTCCTGCTTCTTAAAATTTTGGATGGGATTTCCTTTAGAATGATAACATCTTGGGCAGCAATCTGAAATCTTTTGTTGTAAAAGGCTTGTATAATCTCATTCCGCAGGGACTTCTTTGTAAAATAAATCACCACATCTCTAGGCAAATTCTTCTGCTTAGCAATCCAAGAATTGAGTCTATAAATTTTTTCCACTTCTCTATGTAATTCTCCTTTATCCATATCCAAGGCCATCGCCAGATCAGTAAGGACCACCTCCACCAAATCTTGATTCATATCTTCCTTGAGGCCTCTAATCCTCAGGGCATACTCCATCTGTCTGTACTGAAACATCAAGATATCTTCTTGTGAGGACTCCACCTTCCTTTCCACATCTTGAATTTTATCATCAAAAGAATCAACTTTGTTTTCCACTTCCTCAAGCCTTGCATCGAGCTTAACCACCAC